AGTGTCAAGAGTTCAACCCTCTCCTTAATGAGATTATATTTGAGGACGTACCACAGTTAAGCTACGGTAACAGCACAGTCCTGACGCCACTGTTGCCGCCATCTATTGTATTTACATCTAAGAGACAGTGGTTGTCATATACACCCGAAAAAATTAATGACAAGGCTTTATTATAACATGCGAGCAAGTTACTCGGCCCACGTTACCTTGACTCAAACTCTAGGAATGCAACCTTGCCAATAAGGCAGTTACCTCCCCCCCCCACCAAGTCCAGACGTCCTGCAGCCTTCATAACCTTACCTACGCCCAAACATCCTCTCATCTCCGGTCCCCGCCCAGAGACCCTTATGTCCTCCCTCCCATCCCTCGTTCATCTACTACCCCTCCCCCCTATCTTTCTATCATACCTTCCTCATACACTGATATCTCCCATCCCATTTACTGTCCCTTCACTACACCCAGACATACTGTTTTATCGAATGTCTTTCCCTTACACTCTGGCATATACAACCCCCCCCCCATTTTTTTCCCCACACACTGGCGAGTACAGGAACATACTATTTGAGACTTGTTAACAGGCCGAGAGCTTGCCCCTACCCATAGCGCATTGTAAGATTAGTTTTCCGAAGTTGTTGATTTGTGGAACCAATTACCGCGTACCGTGGTGGGGTCCTCGATTGTTTCAAGCGTGGGTTGGACATGAATTGTATACGAGTGGGATTGGGTGGTTATAAGTAGGAGCTGCCTCGTATGGACCAATAGGCCTTCTGCAGCTACCTTTGTTCTTATGTTCTTAAGACACGCCCCGCCAATCAACTAACATCCAGGTACCTAATTGCTGTCAGGTGAACAGAGGCAAACAGGCAAGAACCGAGGCCCAGACATTCTTCCCTGGCCAGGGCTCGAACCTAGACACATCACTATCTACATCCAATAACCAGACATCCCTGTCATCCACGAGCGTGAGAATGTCAAGTAACAGGTCCACTATCATTAGATTCAAATCATGATATGATTTTGACGTTCCACAAACACGTTGTGCATTTGTTTTACAATTATGGCATTAATCACATTAGTTATTCTCGTACAAAGATCATTTAAGGAGTGAGGTTTTTATGAGAAAGTTCCACGAGGACAAATGTGGCAAGTGTGCTGACCAATGGATTGGTCAACTTTTCAGAGCCCATCTGTCTGGGAAAAGCCATTATACAGTTTGCTTTTTATCTCCTATAGAACAGACTTACAATTTCAAACTGTACAAGGACTTTATTGCAAACCTATAAATGTGGAAGCAAAATTAGTCTGGAGATGAAATGTATTGCTCAAAATGATTGGGAACAAAATACATATGGAGTTAAAATATAAGCACTGTTATGCAGCATAAGCTTGAGAACAAGCCATGTACTGTACTGTATTAACTTAGCTGTGTCAAACGTGTTACTGTAAATTACAAAATATTTTACATAATCTACGCTTCTTAAGCGACGAAAAATTTAAATACCCAATTTCACAGTGAATATACAAAATAAATAATACTGCGCTAAAACTGACTAAGATTGTTCAAATACGATTTAACATTTATTTTCACAAACTGTATTGTCAAAGAATCAAACCCTATGGTGTTTGTACAGCATTTACATTACAAATTAATTATAATACAATGGAGTTATTATATCGTGTTCATTTTATAAGTAGATCAGGAGTTCATTCCTGCAGAACAACAATGTGAATATATATTTATAAAATAAGTGACAATAAGAGTTGTCAAAGCTGAACAAAGCTAAGGATAAAAATAAATCTGCTGCAATTTTATTAATTTTTATCTTTAATTTGTTCAGCTTTGACAACTCTGTCATTCATGATTTTATAAATATATAACTACTTTGTTAGTCAGCAGGAATAAACTCCTGCTCTACTTGTGCTCTCAGAATACTGTAATGCAAGCCTAAAAGGATATGTTATACACCGAAACTATAATGGATAAAGGAATGCATCTCGAGAACCAGGACGCCGATTCGTTCCCCGTCCTGTTCCAATGACTTTTCTACATCATTACAATCACCCTGACTTCGAATATCACAGGCAGCCTTGCCATAGGCTAGTTCCTATATTTAAACAATTTATTTACAGTATTTTCTACATCAAAACCTACCAATCCCTCTTCTTTCTATCAGTCTCACTACCTCTATCAGTCTATATACAGTGTGCAAACAAGCCTGAATGGTCCCCAGGACTATATACAACTGAAAACTCACACCCCAGAAGTGACTCGAACCCATACTCCCACAACTGGTATGTACAGGGACGCCTTAATCCGCTTGACCATCACGACCGGACATAAGGAAGTGATAGCCGAGGCTATTTGAACCACTTCCCCGCCGGCACTCGGATGGTAATCTTGGGCATAGCATTTTATCAAATCACCCCATTCTTTGGGGCACACGTGAGGAACACAAATGCAAACAAGCCTGAATGGTCCCCAGGACTATATACAACTGAAAACTCACACCCCAGAAGTGACTCGAACCCATACTCCCACAACTGGTATGTACAGGGACGCCTTAATCCGCTTGACCATCACGACCGGACATAAGGAAGTGATAGCCGAGGCTATTTGAACCACTTCCCCGCCGGCACTCGGATGGTAATCTTGGGCATAGCATTTTATCAAATCACCCCATTCTTTGGGGCACACGTGAGGAACACAAATGCAAACAAGCCTGAATGGTCCCCAGGACTATATACAACTGAAAACTCACACCCCAGAAGTGACTCGAACCCATACTCCCACAACTGGTATGTACAGGGACGCCTTAATCCGCTTGACCATCACGACCGGACATAAGGAAGTGATAGCCGAGGCTATTTGAACCACTTCCCCGCCGGCACTCGGATGGTAATCTTGGGCATAGCATTTTATCAAATCACCCCATTCTTTGGGGCACACGTGAGGAACACAAATGCAAACAAGCCTGAATGGTCCCCAGGACTATATACAACTGAAAACTCACACCCCAGAAGTGACTCGAACCCATACTCCCACAACTGGTATGTACAGGGACGCCTTAATCCGCTTGACCATCACGACCGGACATAAGGAAGTGATAGCCGAGGCTATTTGAACCACTTCCCCGCCGGCACTCGGATGGTAATCTTGGGCATAGCATTTTATCAAATCACCCCATTCTTTGGGGCACACGTGAGGAACACAAATGCAAACAAGCCTGAATGGTCCCCAGGACTATATACAACTGAAAACTCACACCCCAGAAGTGACTCGAACCCATACTCCCACAACTGGTATGTACAGGGACGCCTTAATCCGCTTGACCATCACGACCGGACATAAGGAAGTGATAGCCGAGGCTATTTGAACCACTTCCCCGCCGGCACTCGGATGGTAATCTTGGGCATAGCATTTTATCAAATCACCCCATTCTTTGGGTTACTATATACAGTGTAATTATCCATCGAGACCATGTGCGCTAGAGGATATTCACAAATGAAAAAAATCAATGGCAAGTCTAGTTAGGTAAAGACCAGCAGTGAGGGAGTTTCATACATACCAAAGCACAACTTTCCCCAGTAATTATACATTTCTACTTTATTGAACATTCCGGTTCCATATTTTGCATTATTCAGGATGGGAAAGTACATTTTACTATATTTGGTCAATCGAGTGAGTAATTTATTATGCACCCCATACCCATCCCGAGAGCAATTGATTAATAGAAAATATTACAGAACCACATACATTATGGCTATTGAAGGTAGCTACCATTACTACTACTGTATCTGGAGAGGGTTCTAGGAATTCTTCTCCACCCAAGCTCGGTCTAGGGCCAAGCTTGATTTGTGAAACCTGGTGTCCAACAGGCTGTTAATTGGAGCAACCTGTTTGGGCATTTTGCAATGTGTGTGTATGGGGGCACTTTTATTTTTTACTTTCAGCCAATTTGCCTGGTTAGATTGTGTCAACACATGCCTGCAGATATTACACAATGCATATTTCCCGGCATTTATTGTTACAGCTCTGTACTGACCTTACAACATTGTGTACTTTTATTTACTATGTACAATAACTTTATAAATGTTTAAAAGGGGTAAATTAAAAGATTGATTGTATGTACAGTACATATGTGTACTCAATATTCGGAAGAATTCGCACCGTTACTTTGGTAGGAGGAAAGTGACGATTAGAAGAGAAAGCAGCTACTCACATGATACTTTTCAATAATAATAATAATTTATTTACAAGAAGGTACAATGGGTTAGGGAGATTACGTTAGTGAGATTTTTTACATTCTTGTAAAGCCACTAGCACACTTAACGTTTTGGGCAAAAACCACTGCTCGAATGTTATCAATGAATCAATGTTATTTACTAATAATAATATACAGTAGTGTGGATTGGTTTATTATGTACAGTATATACAAGACCAAAGGAAGGTGGTGGTGAAGGAAGTGAAAACATCAATGTCAACAGTATCACTCATTAATACCTTCATGTGCTCTACCCAGAGTTTGCTAATACAAACTAGAAGACTGAACTCGTATCGCCTGAATTCCTGACTAACCGACCTGTCAGATGGGGACATTAGATGAACATATAGCTAGGTAATACATTACTGTACAATAAAATATTTGGCTGCCAGCCATTTTATGTGCTTGTACTGCAGTGTGCTACTAACCACCTCTCAGGAGCAAAGATGCACCCACGTTTCCTATGTCATTTACAGATTGTGTTGATAAACACGACAATTCCATTTTATTTGATTTAGGATGATATTTCAAATGGGCTTATTTGCTTATTTAATGCCTATGAAGGAAACAAGATCCTGTTAAACTTGAAATTAAAATTGCATCCAGACAATATACGCCACTGGCTATTTTATTTCTTCCGGATAATGGGATTGCACTGTAACAATATACGATGTGTCGGGTTACATCAACATATTAAATATTTATAAACAAATGAAAAATTACTTAAATTGTACTTACATGTAATGGAATTTGGGATACGAGCTGTCCATGGTTTTTTTTTGGTTTGGGAGGAACAAGTGGTGCAACCTTTTTACCACCTCCAGGTGAATATTGCTGCGTAGATGTATTTCCCAGGTGTAACCGACCGAGTTCTTCAGTCACATTACTGTATGTGTTGCTAAACATCTCGTGCCCAATTATTTGAAGTTAGCACTATACTCTGAGAAAACAAAAAATAATAAAATATGAATATAGTTTATATAGTTTAGTTTTCATGCCAAATTTCACAAATGATCCACAGTTTTATTTCAATATATGGTAAGGCGATACAGTACTTCCTATAAACTGATTTCCCGTTTACCTATAGCCAGCCAAGAATTTTCCTACTCAAAATCCAGTCTGATGGCAGGTATTCAGCCAGACTATCTCAACACTAGTTACTTGAGCCTCTTTCAGGAAGAAGTGAGTTTCTAAAGCAGTCAAATTATTGGATGCGAGACATTTTTACATAAGCCTTTGAACCAAAAGAACAAATTGTGCATTGTACTAACATATTAGGATAAACTAATCCCTTTTATACAATTTACACATTAATAAGTCAGCATCCACAAGTTAATAATTTTATTCGTAAAATGTATAAGTATTATTATTATATTATTATTAGCACCCTATTTTCTCATGTAAAATATTACAAGAATAACACCAATACCATTTGAATGCTAGAACTCAAAAATATGACTAAGTATTGTAACTTAAGTACAGTACAGTACTGTGCTTGCATGTTAAACTGAAAATACATTATATATATATATATACACCCTAAGTTAAATTAAGTGAAGTGACCCATGTAGGACAAAGGACAACTACTGAAAAGTCACACCTTATCTTTTATAATACAGTACTGTATTGTACCGTTCTGTACCTTCACTCTGACAATATCTACAGCAGCACATTAGCCATTTCATACAAGTTTTAAATATATCTGCCAACCACTGTATAAACAATAAACAGAAGAGTTTGTGAATAAAAAAAATTTTCTAGTGTCAAATAGTCATTGAACTGTCTCAATAGAGTTCCATCGTCGCACAGAGTTTCATATTGAATACAAAAAACCTCGTCTAATTACATCTTGCGGAAACATAACCATGCCTGATAAAGAGAAACAAGACATGGGGAAGAAATACACATGTGAAATATAAGCTTAAGAGTCCAGTACTGCAATATCACCCATAAAATATACAAATATACTTGTCAACAAAAATAACCCTTATTAAATCAAACTTTAATTATTGTGGTTAATTTGGGTCTTTGAAAAGCACTCTATGATGTTTATTAATGTCTAAAAGGTTCGTATGCCGAGGAATTAAATTGAGTGATGAATGTAATGTATTTGGTAAGGTACAAGTGTGGTTATGTTGACACGGTCCATACACGGGTCCCCCAACACCACACAAGGCTCCACTACTGTGCCACCCGTGTGCTCAGGCACCTGCTGCCTCATGGACCCCACACTGCTGCCTGACACTACTTCAAACCACTAATAACACTGCCAGAAAAAACTAATACCATCGGCATGATTTTATCGGAAATTCTGCTACAATTATCCATTACATTGCCATAATTGAGCAGGGATACTGAGCTCACTCCTCACAGAGGTATTACTGTGTTATATTAAGTACGCGAGAGGTGTTAAAGGCCTCCAAAGTCTTAATTATGTAGGTCCGGCTCGTGTCTTACCTTCTGAGAGTTAAAATCCCGTGTGAGTCACTTCCTGTCACTGTGGAGACAACAACACGGGCTCACAGGTGACTCCCTCGCCTCCCCACACACACACTCACACTCTTCACAAAATCCTCTACACCACGCCCTCCTGCACCTTACACTCCCACCTCCCTCTCATCCGTTAATATTCTACACATATCTACTTTTTTATATGCGTGTCTATTGTATACGATGAAAAATAACTGGAATATTTGTAAATAGTGTGGAATTTTATATTGCTGGAACATCACACTGACAAGCTGCGCGCCTAATTTAAATTAAAAACGCAAGTACGTGAAGGAGAAAGTGAATTGGCCTGTTAATCTGCTCTCATAAGAAGGCAATTATATCAAGTCTCTGCTTTATTACATCTCTCAAAGGCACAGCATACCTTTTATCAGATCTCTTCAGGCCTACCATCACATATATACCTTCTATTAGCTTAATTCTAAGCAGCAGACAAGGCATAATGAGGCTATAAAAGCATATCCAAGTCAAATTTAGGTTACGACTGCTATCCCTTGTCGGCAGCCATGACCCTAATTGATCAACCATGAATACACAGGCATTCTATATAAGGGTGACAACATTCCCTATTAACTTCCTCCGAAGGAAAACCTAAATTTGATTGCGATTGTTTTACGTGTCCTATTAGGCATATGTGTTCAAAATCTACATTATAATAAAGTACCAAATTTAAAAAGCATATTTTCTAATAATATTATAACATACCAGTTATAAATTGCATATGTTCTAATAATATTAATATTGATGCTTCTTTCTGTTCCAAAATGCAGGACGAAAAACAGGACATGCCTTTTTACCCAAAGGGTTATAAATCCACGGAACCGCCTACCCGCCGAAACCGTAAATGCTAAAACATTGATGCAATTCAAGGTCAAGTTCGATACAAACATCGGGACAAATTGGAAGATCTTTGACAAACCATCGTCTTCCAGTCCATCGAGGTCACTATAGAGAGATAGTGGCCCTCAGGTAAAAAAGCAGTTCCGTTTGCCTGAGGCCTCTGGAGTTAGACAGCTGCTACGGGGCTACTTCCTGGCATTTTTATGGGTTATATTTCTACCAGTTATGTCCTTCAGTACTCATCACTATCTTGAGAGCCATGATAAAAAAAAGTTTGAGGTGTTATTTCTTCATTAAGGGAGTAGCATGGCTCTTTGCCTTCCTTTTGATTGTATCTTCAACATGTTTACCTGAGGGCCACTATCTCTCTAGTGGTCTCAATGAAGACAGAAGGCTGGCAGCATGTCAAAGGTCTCCCCTATTGTTCGTGATTATTTCCAGTTGGACTAAATAGAAGTAATGTCATGGCATTTACAGTTTCGGTGGGTAGGTATTTCCATGTGTTTAATAATTTAATAATTAATTTTGTCAGTGGCAGGAAGCCTGTGTGTGTGTGTGCGTATTCACCTAGTTGTGTTTGCGAGGGTTGAGCTTTGCTCTTTCGGCCCGCCTCTCAACTGTCAATCAACTGTTTACTAACTACTTTTTTTTCTCTCCACACCACACACACACACCAGGAAGCAGCCTGTGACAGCTGACTAACTCCCAGGTACCTATTTACTGCTAGGTAACGGGCATTCAGGGTGAAAGAAACTTTGCCCATTTGTTTCTGCCTGGTGCGGGAATCGAACCTGCACCACAGAATTACGAATACTATGCGCTATCCACCAGGCTACCAGGCCCTGTATGTGTGTGTGCATTGTTACGGCAATCTCCTGCTTCGGTAGTAGATCCTGCCTATTCACCAACATATCTGCATGCTCCAGTATAAGGAATCAACATCAACAATACGTGATCTGAAGCCTGTGTCTAGACAAGACACCACCCCCCCTCCACCCTCAAGTACCCAAGACACCTGGACACCTGCTGTCTGGGGGCCAACTCCACTTGCCGGTCGACCAGCCTAACCGCTCGTTTAAGACTCCCGGCGATAGTTACCTGCACATCAGCGCCATCTACACTAGACCTGGCTGCATATATAAGCAGCTCACTACCGGCCAGTCTAACTAACTACGGGCTCACCATAGCCCGTGCTACTTGGAACAATTTGTTCCAGGTAGCGAATCTTAAACAACAAACTGGCCAGTCTGAACAAGTTACAGCCCTGCTGTGCCAGGTAAGTTCACAATGGGCTCACCATAGCCCATGCTACTTGGGAATTTTTGTTCCAAGTTGTAAATCTTAAACAACAACAACAACGGCCAGTCCTCAGAATACTCTTCGTGCTCTCAAGCAGTAACATATACTGTAGTCTTCCCAGGAAACAGTAGATGCACACAGCTATTGTATATTGTATTGTTTTGCACCTCTCTTTTTGCCATTGATGTAACTGTCACATTTACATTTATTTTGCATTTTATATTGTGCTATCGCGAAGTGGATAATGGGATTTGTTTTATTTGTTATAGTCAATTTTGTTATATTAAATGTTTAAAGTTTTTCATTCATTTGAATTTTCACCCGCAGCTCTCATACAGTAAAGAGGTCAGAAGCAGTCTTATTTACTTTATTTTACTTGTTTTTATCTAATGTGATTGGCACAACACCAGCCAGAATAGCCACTGCTCTATTCTTTCAGATTTGTCACTATAATTATATATATGCACACATACATGTATAGGGAAATGTCTGTCTGTCATGCCTGTAAGATGTGCCAGAAATGGGATAATAGGATGACATGCAATATTAGGTATACATATTATTGAACTTTGTATGCCTATATATATATAGTACTCACTGTTTTTGTCACATGTCCATAAATCATGTTATTCAACACAAATGTTAACTAAAGAGAAGCAACATAACCATCCAACTTGAAAATGAGTGTCCTCACCTTCTGCACCATGAGCACACTGCCCATCTATGAGCTCTGACTTCCCCACCCAGCATCCTCCTACTCTATATGAAGTCAGGTAAAAAATGTATATTTGTTTTTATTTTTCAGTTATCTTACATCTACATGCAGATTATCATTCCATAAAGTTGTTTTTTTCTGCACGCAGGCGAGGTGTCAGATTTTATGAGCTGCTCTAAGGATTAAGGAATCAAAATTTTACTTTTTGGCAGTGTCTTATTTTTCACATCACAGGAAAATCTAGATATTTTAAGTTCATTTTAAGCTTCGTTTGAAAGAAATCAGCCAATTCAATGTTATCACTTTACATCACTCTATATTAGCATTACTGGAGAATTGTCAACTTTTTTTTCTCATGCAAAAATAATATAAACAGATTAATTTATTACAAGTTATCATTTATAAAGTGTAGCATCTAGTTATTTAAATCGGGAGAAACAATATTGTTAAAAGTTCCAGGCACTACATTTTTTTGCAGAAAATTAATCAAATTATGTTGGGTAAACATTATTATCAAGGTTACTGTTAATCATATTTTACGTGCACAGTGCTGCTGCAACTATTAATCCATTCAAATTACAAACAGTGTATCTTCCACATGGCAAGAGTAGTATAATTTTCCAAGAGCTTTTGTTCAAAATAACTAAATCATGTTTGCTACTAGATTTAACTCTTCAATACAATATACTACTGTAACCTTTCTTACAATCTATATTTACCACTCAAGTTGTAACCTATAATTCCGTTGAACATTAGAATAAATTCTTTAACATTTAAATGTGATTTACATTACTTTGCATCTTTTATTATTAAATATTCCACAAAAATGTATGCTCTGAACCACACAATTGTTATTACTAACCTAGTAAAAATGTGCCCCTACATTAATATAAAAAAAATCCTTGCCAAATTAATTTTAATTTAACTATCAGGGGAAAGCGCCAAACCTTTAAGACTTTATAGCACTTGGAAGGGGTCAGGATAAGCATTTGGGATGGGACTGGGGGGGGAAGAAATGGTGCCCAACCACTTGGATGGTCGGGGATTGAACGCCGACTCGCTTGAAGCGAGACTGTCTCTCTACTGTCCAGTCCAAGTGGCTGGGTAATCCTTACCAAAGAAAACTAATATTTTCAACTTTAAATTACAACTGCATAGATATTTTTCTGGCAGAAAGTACATTTTACAACATCCCTGTAGTACAACATGTTTGAACTACTGGAATTTTTAACCTGTATTAAGCCTAAGTAATCATAGGCCTTATGTCATCTTGTGTGTAAATTAGGCCTAGGATTCCTAATACTGTATATACATGTGCCTAGGGAATAATCTATACTATGTATAGATTATACCCTAGGCACATAATATATACTATTATAATATATTCTATGCCCAGGGAAGTTTACTTTTAGCTGTTGCCATCTTTCTCATGCCCTTTACAAAATTAGGCCTTTTTTCGGTGCAACAGTCCATTTTTGTGCATTCAATCATTTGTTGCAATAAGGACTATCATATGTGGATGACAGGTTATATTTTTCATCCTGTAAGGAATAGCACTGAAGCAGTAGTACTGTATCCACAAACTTAATCTTCTTTGGCAAGGCCAACCATTTCTTCTGAAATATGCCACAGCTTTTCTGCTACTGCATCATCTCGTGCTGCTGCACTGGCATAGCAAAGACCACAATCACTGTTGGAGAAAAAAAAATCAGGCATTGAGTTAAGTGAAAATTGCCTTTGAGTGGTTTATTTGGTGGCTTCCTAAGGTAAGGTCACCCATGTCCAAAGGACAACATAGTACACAGTGTCATATAGAACTATCAAAAATGTTCCTGAAAGGTCATAAGTGTGCCAGGAAATCACAGGAGAATATTCTGATGGATATTTAAAATACTATGCTCAACTGCTATTTGCGAGTATAATTGAAAGTGATTACACACATTTGAAGTTTTTAAATTTAGTCATTTTATAATTCAATATACTGTACAGCAATTCATTGTCGGGGGACAAGAAGCCAAAGTGTATTCACACACGTTAGGCTTATAACGAGGTCCCTCTATCCTCGGCCCCTATCTAAAGTAAGCTTCACAACCTTTCAAAACCCCATGGGTGGTGGCCCCTGAAATTATTTTCCTCCCATTCCAGTCTGACAATGCCTGCAATTCCACATTCTGCAGCGACATAGGGGCCCAAACCAAGGGTGGAGGCCTAAAAAGCAAACCAAACAAACTGACAAAACTGGCCACTCACAGACAAGACAAAAGCAGCAGAAGCAGCTGCTGCTGCAGTCACTGTTAAGCATTATTAAGTATTAAAACATAACAATCAGGTTTTTGTCTCCATTGACGAACATCGGTTCAGTAGAGTTGGTGAGTACACTAGAGGGTTGAGTGGCCTGGCTGACGGTTGTTAAGCAGGTGTTGCAACAAAGAACCTTGTTCCTAGAATCCACCCAAAAAGTTGCCCAATTCACAGGTACCTGTTTACCGATAGGTGAACAGTGCCATCAGGTGCAAGGAAACGTGTCCAAACGTCTCGCCCTGTCCAGGAACTGAACTGTGGATCAATCAGTTGTGTGCCAACTACACTAACCTCTGCACCACAGGTGACTTTATGCTTAACTCCTTATACCAACCTCCTATCTTTAAGGGAGAGTGGCAGAAACCAGCCTCCCCCCTCCTTCCACAAAGATATTATTACTTCATCAATTCAAAACTCCTGAAGGTGTACCCAAAATATTTCTAAGAATCTTGCTGGCTTAGTTATTATAAAAGTGAAAAACTCTTAATTTTACTGTATTTTCTAGTTAACAATACGAGCATATGTATATACACACACCTGTAATAATAAGGATCCTCCTGAATAGCCTCCAAGGCACAATGAAGTGTCGTCTGTGTGCCTTCAACAGTGTTTTTCCAGAGAATTGCCATTAGTTTGCTAGCATACCACACGTCTACTACATGACGAGCTAAATTAGACTGTACACCTCCTGGGTGGACAGCAAATACTTGAATGTTTGTTCCTGTAAAATAATTATGATTAGTTAAAAATAAGAAATGTATTTTATACATTTTCAGTATTTAAATGTATACATACATTTAAATGTATTTTTATACAACACAGCATACTTGAGCTCCCATTTTTAAAGTTTTGAATATTAGTAATAATCAAGTCTTAAAAGTTAAATATTTCATGTAATGAAATGCTCCTTTCTGGATAGCACTCTGATAGCTTCCCTTATTTTATGTAACCAACATAGTCAGAACATTGCGAGTGTAATTACTGTACTTAAGTGTAATTACCAGATGAGAGCTACGCTCGTGGTGTCCCATCTTCTTACCCTGCCATACGACACTTTGAAACTACCGACAGTTTTGGCCTCGACAGCCTTCTCACTTTTGAACTTGTTCCAACCATTTATCATAAAAAAAAAAAAAAATACGACCTGAGAAGCACAAAAATACATTGTGTGAGGAGCCTATGCTATGTTTTCTAATTTCAGAATGGCTTTTAAATATATGGATGGTGAAATGCTAAAGCAATTGTTCATGACCTTCGTGAGACCAAAGCTTGAATATTCAGCGGGCAAATGGTGCCCATATCTTAAGACGCACATCAGCAAACTAGAAAAGATGCAAAGGTATGCTCCTGAAACTGAACAACAAGAGCTATGAGGAGAGGTTTGAGGCCTTAAATGTACCAAACTAGAAGATATTAGAAAAAGTGGGGATATGATCACTATGTACAGAATAATACCGGGAATCAACAGAATTGAGGGGAAGAATTCCCGAGACCTGGTACTTAAAGAACAAGAGCTCATAAATTTAAGCTAACTGAACAAAGCTGCCGAAGAAATATAACAAATTCACTTTTGCAAACAGAGTTTTAGATGGTTGGAATAAATTAAGTGAAAGATGATGGAGGCCAAAACCGTCAGTAGTTTCCAAGCATCAAAAGACAGAGTGCCGAGAAGATAAGTCATCACGAGCGTAACTCATCCTGCAACTACACTTAGGTAATTACTATTTGCAAAAGAGCTTCCCAATATTTTTCTGGTACATTTGTTTCCTTAGCTGGAATCTATGACCTCTTGCTCCTGAAGGTGCAAGTTTCAAGAATTCCTCTTTTTCAATATTGTAGATTCTGTTACTACTTTGTATGCAGTGATCATATCACCTCTTTCTTCTATCTTCTAGTTTTGGCATATTTAGCATTTCTAGCCACTCTTCGTAATCTGTTTTCAGTTCCAGAAGCCACTTCGTAGCACGTCTTTGCATCTTTTCCGGTGTGCCAGGTTCCTGGTGACTAGCTGAACCCACTTTTTCAAGTTTGTAATAGGGTTACTCTTTGAATGCAGTAGTTGGGCATATATTATGGTCTCCCCCCCCCTCTTGAGGATCAAAGTTTAACCCATTAACAAGGCAAATTGCCATTAAAATACAAAGAGGCACCAAAACCACCCTCTAAGCAATGTTTGGCATACTGCATAACAAAATAAAGCTGAATAATCCTAACCACCACTACCAGGTTTCAGGTTTACCCACCCAAGCCCCAGGGAAGGTGACCACAACTCTCAAACCTAAGCTCATTTATTGACAAAAAAATACAGTATTTATAAATAGGTAAGAATAGGAAGCTACCGAGGTGATGCCCAAAGGGAGCATTTCATTACACTCGATGCTCTATTGCATCTGATAGATAAAGAGCATCATTATTAGGGTGTTTACACAATAGCAATGGTGGTTTGCCTTGTTACTTGCCACCCCCCCTCCCTTTTCTACCCAGACATACCTTTTCCACCAACGCCTCCACTTACCTATCTTTTACCTTCCTGCTCCAAACTCCCCTCATTGTGCTTGCTCAGCTTGAACTTAAAACTTGGGCTAGAAGGTTGGACCCAAGAGCTGAAGATATCTTAAATGTACTCTGAAGTGAAATATCTAATTTTTCTAAAGTACACTCATGGTTCTAATTAAGAAGTTTCAAACTAACCACCGTGGGATTATCAGGCATTTTGCCTAAATCCACTACAAGTAGATATGCAAAATTGCTATGGATTTGTTATTGTTCAGTAATTATTGCAGGAGCAATAATTATTGATTAATAAATAATAGACTTGTTGCATTTAATAAGTTCCATTTTAGATTCTGGATTAAGTTATGCTATGATTATTGTTATAATTAATGTGTTACTACTGTAAATTACTTTTTCCCCCCATCCCCCCTACAAGCCCAGAGTTTTAATTTTTAACATCTTGAAAAATACAATACTAGTACATTGGTAATAGAGTATCAGTCTTTTTATAGTATCAAAGTATGGGTCGGGAAATGGAGGAGGGAGAGAGGGAGGGGGTTGCATTGGTGCATATACAGTATGTAACTTTTCAATATCTATGAAATTGAAACATTAGTGGCCAAAGAACTATATGGAGAACATAATTTGCATAGTTAATGATTAGAAAATGACTCAGTTCTGTAGTAATGTACATTACCTTTTAATTTCTTTGCAAGTTGGCGAGTGAAAAGGACATTCGCTAGTTTGCTGTTTCCATATGCCTGCATTCTGTCATAGCCTCTCTCATATTTCATGTCATCAAATGGAATATAACCTCCTGAAATATAAAGTTCTTAATTAAAAATATGCTATTAAATTTACATGTAGTACATAGACTACACAAGAACCAGTTAATGTCAGATTATTTCTTTATGCAAGTACTGTACAGTACTATTTTCATTGAGTTACTAAACTGGCATATAGAATTCATTAAAACACACCAGCAATCAAAGAGCAAAATGATAAGTTTCATGTGTGTTTATGCAACCAGCTTACTCCATAGTATATTTTAATAGTAATGTTCTTCATTTATCTCACTATTGAGAGGAGGGATAAAATGTTAATGGTCATTTGTGTTTCAGGACAGCAGTTTAAAAAAACAGTTGTCATACATAACTGAAGTTCATTTGCATAATAAATAATTCTTGCTAGGAACAATGTAACCAACAGTATATGTAATATTAACTTGTCAAGTTATTATAATAACTTGACAAGTTTATTAACTAAATATTAACTAAAATATTGTACTGTAATTGGTTACGGAAGATTGTTGTAAGCCGGAGATGGTAATATTCTGGCAGGAGCAAGCAAGAGCACCACCCAGATCAAAATACTCCACACTAATCCAGAGTGGACCATTGTAGAATGAGAGTGCTTATTGGGCTCCTTTGTTAGTGAAGTATGTTTTAAGTGTGTACCTTGTTAGGACATGATTAAGAACGGTGTAAACATCACTGGCAGGGACGATAACATTGTTGCCATGGTGTTCACATGCATTTTGTAACATTATTCTGGTGTCCGTTGCGGACGTCCTTGTCGAAGCATTTCATGAATCAATTTTAGCATCTACATGCAGTGAATCATTTTGGGGCTGATGGTTCATGATTATTAGTACAGTACAGTAGTTTGATTTTGGCACACTGATAATTGAATTGTCACCTGGTGGCTGGCTGCCATAAGCCAGCCACCAGTGTCAAACATAACATAAGCCTTAATGTCAACATAACAGTTGTTCTTGAGAATGATTTGTGGTGCAGATTTTGACACATTCCTGCATTATTTGGACTCTTGAATTTAATTGCACCTTGTCTTGGCTACCATATTTTTATGTAAATACTTTCCTTGCACAGAATATATTATACTGCTTTTAACAAGCCATGGTCTTAGATCTTTTTTCTTCTTAGTGTTTGAAAAGAAAGTTTTACATTTTTCCTCAGACAGCTTAATTTGAATCTTAAGAGACCCCCTGGCAGCAACAGGCCACAAGTGGCCAATTAGTCATTATCTTTGGGGAAATGGCAGCCGTTAAGTCAGTCTCAAGCTCCAAAATGGAGGGAGACTTTAATTGGGTTCCATGCCCTCGTCTCTCAGCCGAACTTAAGAGCAAACTCATTTATCTAAAGTGCTAAAATTCTGTGTACAAACACTCTTCTCTGACCAGCTTCAGTTAAAGCAATCTTCACCGAGTTAAACTTTGTTTTAATTAAATTAAATATACAGTAACATATGAGGAATTCAGACTTACTTCCTTCCTTTTTGAATACAGTACTGTACCTGGGTATGCTGCTGAATTCAAATGTCAGATGAGAGGACTTTGCATGCAAATTGCATGGTGCACAAAAAGACAATAAATTCCTTAGCAAAATAAATTTGTACAACCAAATTTAGCCACAATTACTGTATTAAAGAAAAAATATGATTACTATCCACAGAACTTCTTACGTGTATGCCCAAGAGAGCTGATATTAATGATACGAGCAGGTTCAGAGTGAGTCAATAAGGGCAGCAGTAAGCAGGTCAACAGGAAATGGCCAAGGTGGTTGGTGCCCATCTGCATTTCAAACCCATCTTCAGTCTTCATATATGGACACATCATAACACCTGAGAAGATCATCACAAATAAATTAAAAATTTGTTTAGAATCACTTGCATAATTTTAAGGTTAGGGGCAATGAGTAAGATCATACAAGTACAGTATGGTAGTTCAATATGAGTAAATCTTTCATGCTATAAAAAGTTGGAAATTCAGACCTTAAAATAACAAAACTCTTAAATTCCTTACAGTACAGTACTTTGGTTACTGGAACAAAACCTGAAAATTTTGAATGAAGGACCGAACTTTCAAATGTATGTAGAAATTAAACACAACCTGGCATTGTTATACTCTGTTCATATTTAATAATTTTACTGTTATTTACTTTGGTAGTACTATAATTATTTACTGCATTTGAGAAATACAGGTTTTACTGTACAGTACACATACTGTACTGTATAATGTACTGTATTGTATAATGTACTATATTGCACTTATAGTAGTTGGTCACGTAAAACCTTATTAGGTTTCTGGTGAGGAAGCTACTTCACTCTCAAGTCAGAGCACCATACAGTAAAACACTGACAAAAGGCAGAACAGGTGGGAAGAGGGAACTACTATGGTGCCTCATAGTGCCTTAAATTGCTGAAAATAAAATTACAGAGTACAGTATTCAAAATTTTGGCATATTCAAAATTTTTAAATATCACCAATTTGTGATATTTTGAGGTTGAACTTTATGTACAGTACGACACATCCATTGAATACATTTCATATTTTCTACGCTGGAGAAGATTCAGAATTTTTCATACAGTAGATACTTAAAATAGATTTATGAATCCAGACAACATATGTGCATGTTGTACTAACCTGCATTATTGATCAGCATGTGAATCCTTGTTTCTTTGGCTCTGAGGTCGGCAGCAAATGCACGGACAGATTTTAAGGATGCAAGGTCCAGTTTCATGACCACAAGCTCGCCACCGGTTTGATCACGTATCTCTTCCGCCACTTTTTCTGCCATCTTTGTGTCTCTACAGGCCATTATAATTTTAGCCCCTGTAATAAAATTAACAAAATAATTAAGTAAATATTTTTTTAATTTTGCTAGAAATTACCTACTTAAAATTATCTGTTAGATTAAGGACCTGCCCGAAACACTATGCGTATTAGTGGCTTTACAAGAACATAAAAAAATCAATGCTATGTTCTCTCATAAACCCAATGAACCTTCTTGTATATTATTAATTATAATATATAATAATATATATTAATATATATTATTAATATATATTATATATATATTATATATATATATATATATATATATATATATATATATATATATATATATATATATATATATATATATATATATATATACAGTATATCTAAAATGCATAGATTTCTTGCTTTTCCCTGACATTAGTAGGCAATGTTTTAAGACATATATACATAACACAATATTATTATTATTATTATTATATCTACATAATTTTAGGCATGCAATTTGAGGGTTAACTGACAATATTAGCATATGTCAAAATTCGGGTCCTGGCTCCCAGTAGTTCAGGACAGGTCTCAGACTCCTGGTGTGATTTTCCAACGCCTAGGGTGATAATGACGAGCCCCACTCAAAAATATATTATGTAATTAAAAAAATAATATAAATCATAATTAATTCCACAAACTTTTAATAAACTTGGCCATTAGCAAGGTAGTGTTGCGCATTCATCACAGTAAGCAGAGAATAATCCGATCTTGGATCTACAGCTACATCTTTATATTAACTGCATTATTCCCTTTCATACACACAAAAATCTATTACACATACAAAGAAATCATATCAGCATGATGTATTAATGAGAAAAATAGTAGGAGCCATGAGAAAGATTTAAACTTATGCTCTGGGTACTGCCAAGCAAAATGAGAAGCATAGTGGTCTAAGGCATTTGCTTGGGAGTACCTAGAGCACAGGTTCAGATCCTGCTCAAGGCTCACTGATTTTCTCAAAAATCTATTTCTTAATCTATACTATTCCTAACACCTCTCCTTGCCTTCAACTTTAATTCATTATCAACTGCCACTGCTTCTCCAATCTTAAAGTTTAATTTATTTTTCCATCAGGTCTAATATTCAGGCGCCCCCCCCCCCCATCTGGCGCCGCCTGTGAATAATCAGAGATCTTATCATGACTGGCAGGCAAGTCACCACATTACTTCAGCAGTCATCATGACACAGTTTTCCTTCATAGTGTTAAAAAGAGACTTGCGTACATTATCCTTAGCTGTTGTAATGTTAAAAATACATGTTATTTGAATCATGTAAATCTTAATATATGTAGTACAATACAGTATTCTAATACCATACTTACAGATTTTTACTATATTATATAAACCCTGTTAAAATCTTATACAGGGCTTACCTACCACTATCAAATACTCTACATTATTAATATTTTGAAGATACAAGACAGGACAGTATTGAAACATTTTGTTTAGGCACGAGCAGAAAACACTATGAGCATCAGAGGTTCGGGGATATTCAATATCCTCCCACTAAATATAAGAAATACTGTACTGCTGGAACAAAAGTTGGCATGTTTAATAAACAATTAGACAACTTCTTGTAAGAAATGCCAGACCAACTGGGTTGTAATGGATATTTGGGCCTGTGAGCCATACCAAGCCACACCCTTTTAGTCAAAAATAATAACAAGGTAAACTTGGCTCCAGGCTAGGCTAGAGGACTGTATACATTACAATAGCTATTTAGACAGCATTTTATAATAAAAACCCTACCTCTTCTGCTCAGATTACGTGCAGTCTCTCTTCCAATGCCAACATTGCAACCGGTAATCACAATAATTTTTCCATTTAAACGTTTCACAGAGTTGCATATTCCACCAGCCACGATGCGGCGGACCAGTACGATGATGGTACTATGGAATAACATGCATGTCAGGCAGTTACCCAGATAGTAGTCAACAGCACACACTGAAAAGAACAATGATAATTCAGTACAGTATACAAATCAAAATCTAATCTCAAGTACATAATTACAGTATTACTTACATTAAAAATTGTGCACGACTATCATGTACGAGTACAGTACTGTACAGTATTATATTTAGCAACAGCGCGAGTCTCCTCTGTCACTGGGAGGTATTAAGCTCTTGTCTTCAACACTCCATGGACACGGCCATTTAGTTCCTTTCAAATTACAGTACCTTGTCCTTTATGTTGCTTATTATAATACAGCATATTGTACAGTACATAATATATTTCGTATATAAAATATATAATATGCAAAATAACCACATTTAAAAAAGTAAGTAGTTGCCAGAGTGCATTCAACACTCTCAGACCCTTGTTAATTCTGATATTGACAAAGGTCTTAAGAGAGTCGAAGATCTCTAACAATTATTTAATTTTTGTCAAAAAGTGGTTATTCTACATTTAATAGATTATTTATAGGGTCTTTTAGTACAGTTGGCCTTGTCCTTGACTCACAATCAGAGATCCAGGGTTCAATTTCCGGACAAGACAGAAATGTTTGGGCACATTTCTTTCACCTAATGTCTCAGGTCACCTAGCAGTAAATAGGTGCCCTGGAGTTGGGCAACTGTTGTGAGGTCCTGTGGAAGGTCAGTAGTTCCACCTTACAACATATATGTTATAATTAACAATTATAAATATATTATAATATAGAATATATAATATAATTATAATATAACTATAATTAACATATATGCTAAAATTAACATACCTAAAGTATATGTATAATTTACACAGGCTTCCTGTCCCCACCAAAACGAATTCTTCAGGAAGACCAATTCCCCACCACCACAGACAGGTACCCCAAGTGTAGATAACACAAACATTGATAAACTACAAGTATTGGTATGTACAGCCGGCCAGTCTCATATCTACCTTATCTCGTAGTCATGACCTCTAACATTACCTACAGCCGTGAGGGAGGGGAGAGTACTCGGAGGTCATAGTCCTAAAGAGCTCGGGTTTGATCCCCGGTGGAGATGGAAACAAATAGGTAGTTTCTTTCACCCTGACGCTCCTGTTACCGAGCAGTAAAATAGGTGAGTTAGACAGCTGTTACAGGCTGCTTGTTGGGGATGTAGCAGAAATAATAGAGGAAAAATAAATTGGTTAGAAAGGCGGGGTCCAAGAGATAATATCTCCATTCTGCAGATACAAATAATAAATACACTAATGCGCTCGCTTGCAGCACAAATTAAAATTAGTTCACCAAATGTTCAAATTGCTTAGCTTTTACTACAACTGGTGTTCAGTTACTAAGCCCATAATAGGCCTAATGTTCCCCCCCCCCATAGTAGGGTACACAACTATCTTGAGGTTATCTTGAGATGATTTCGGGGCTCTAGTGTCCCCGCGGCCCGGTCCTCGACCAGGCCTCCACCCCCAGGAAGCAGCCCGTGACAGCTGACTAACTCCCAGGTACCCATTTACTGCTAGGTAACAGGGGCATTCAGGGTGAAAGAAACGATCTGCCTAATGTCTCTAACATTCTGAAACCTATTTTGTTTGCTGATGATTCTACCCTCATCTACTCCAACCCCAACCCACATACACTAAATGGTGTTGTTAATAATGAACTAAAAAAAGTCCACTTATGGATGTCAACCAACAAACTAACATTTAACATAGAAAAGACCTACTACATCCTATTCGGAAGCAAATCTACAAATGCAATTCAGCTTCAGATTGACAATGTAAACATTAGCAATAAAAATGATGGAAAGTTTCTTGGCATATTCGTAGACAAGAGACTCAACTTCAGTACCCACATACAACTCATAACTAAGAAAGTCTCTAAAACAGTTGGTATACTCTCCAAAATCAGATATTATGTTCCTAACTCTGCTCTCATCTCTCTATATTATGCACTAATCTATCCCTATTTCAACTATGGTATCTGTGCATGGGGTTCAACCACTGCAAACCACCTCAAGTCCATCATCACCCAGCAAAAATCTGCTATCAGAATAATATCAAATTCTGCTTTCAGACAACACACAGCCCCCTGGTTTAACTCCCTAAACATGCTAAACATAATCTCACTCCACAAATTCTCTTGTGTCAACTACATTTACAAAACCCTGTTCTTAAATGCAAATCCTTGTCTGAAACTCTTCTTGGACAGATGTAATAGGACCCATTATCACCACACCAGAAATAAATATCTCTTTGATATCCCCAGAGTTAAACTTAATCTGTGTAAACACTATGCAAATAAAGGGACCCAGTTTATGGAACTCACTCCCTACTGAATTGAAAAGCTGTCCAACTTTTACATCATTCAAAATCAATACTAAAGTACCTAATTTCATCTTCATAGTTTTTCACTTTTTGCCTTAAAATTGCACTGTATCAATTGCTACCCAATCTCCCAACCTTTATGTTCCCAATTTGAACATCTTTACCATTGTGATCATTGCTGTTTTCTTATATGTGCTGCCAATCTGTTGTATGGTGTTTATAAATCTTTTTTATCTGTATCTTTTGCTACCCAGTCTCCCAATCTTTATGTACCCAATCTGAACATCTTTACCATTGTGATCATTGCTGTCTTATATGTGCTGTCAATCTGCTGTATGGTGTCTATTAACCTTGTTTAAATTACTAATCAAGCTGTCAATGTAATCAATCAGATGTTTCAATAGGTTCTTCTCTTCCATTGGTTCATCCCTTGCAAATGATATTCCATCATCCAGTACTGACATTAAGGACTATCTTACAGGTAGCTATCCAGTCTCTGTACCTAAAGCCTATTAACTCCACTGACGTCAATACCTACTACCTACTACAATGACGTCAGAGCTTTAATATACCTACTTATCTCCCTCATCTCATTTTTCTACTACTCTTTCTACTACTACTACCTACTACAATGACGTCAGAGCTTTAATATACCTACTTATCTCCCTCATCTCATTTTTCTCTTGTAATGTATCTTTATCATTTATCAATTCTGATTGAAATTACCTACTTAAAATTATCTGCTAGATTAAGGACCTGCCCGAAACGCTGTGCGTACTAGTGGCTTTACAAGAATGTAAATACTGTACTATCCAATGTATTCTCACAAACCCAATGTACCTTCTTGTGTATGTATGTATGTATGTATGTATGTATGTATGTATTATTATATATATATATATATATATATATATATATATATATATGTCGTACCTAATAGCCAGAACTCACTTCTCAGCCTACTATGCAAGGCCCGATTTGCCTAATAAGCCAAGTTTTCATGAATTAATGTTTTTTCGTCTACCTAACCTACCTAACCTAACCTAACCTAGCTTTTTTGGCTACCTAACCTAACCTTACCTATATATATAGGTTAGGTTAGGTTAGGTAGGGTTGGTTAGGTTCGGTCATATATCTACGTTAATTTTAACTCCAATAAAAAAAAATTGACCTCATACATAGTGAAAAGGGTAGCTTTATCATTTCATAAGAAAAAAATTATAGTAAATATATTAATTCAGGAAAACTTGGCTTATTAGGCAAATCGGGCCTTGAATAGTAGGCTGAGAAGTGAGTTCTGGCTACTAGGTACGACATATATATATATATATATATATATATATATATATATATATATATATATATATATATATATATATATATATATATACATATATATATAAATATATAAATAAATAAATAAACTTTGCCCATTTGTTTCTGCCTCGTGCGGGAATCGAACCCGCGCCACAGAATTACGAGTCCTGCGCGCTATCCACCAGGCTACGAGGCCCCGAGGAAGCAGGCCCTACTATTGATACAGTAGTCCCATAGCAACCACCTTACTTTGACTAAACCAATGTCACTTACTCAGGGAACATAGCCCGACAAGAACACTGAATTCTTGCTCCAAGAAGAATCCGAGGCCCGTTGTAAAGTACTCCACAGACACCCAATGGGGATCACAACTGCTGCGGAGGAACTCCATGTCAGTAGGTCCGGCAGGGTGGGTGGCTGCGGCCCGTCTGAGTCTGCCTCACATGTAGGGCTGCCACCACCACCTCTCCAGCGCTGCCAGCCGCATAACACTTACTTCCACATTATATAATTCAGCATATAACTCGGGAGATAAATATAACTATTATATAATATATGTATCTCCCCCAGGGAGGTACTGCGGACGATTCTGTGAATGTAATTTACAGATATGAAGGCTAAAATTATGGTTAAAGGGCTACTAAGCTGGCAAACTCACTATAACTCAAGTGATCACAATTAATAACTAACTAACTAGTTAATTACAAGACAAAGTTAGAGAAGATGCAAAGGTATGCCACCAGACTAGTTCCAGAACTGAGAGGTATGAGCTACGAAAGGTAAACCTCACGTCCCTGGAAGACAAAAAGAGTAAGGGGAGACATGATAACCACCTACAAAGTTATCAGGGGAATCGACAGAATGAACATATATTTATCGTCAATGTGTATGGCAAGAGCAGGCAGTTTTTTCCGACTTGTCATTACGTCAAAAATTCAACCTACTAACATAACCAGAAACGCACGAACCCAAACAACCTACCTACCTATCTAGTCCGATGCGTTTTAATATTTAGATATTTGCGAGGCGTTATTTTTCCATAGGTTGCAATTGTAACGTTGGTTACCATAAGGTAAATAAAACGCGACCTATTAGTTGAGATGATGGTTTTGGGGATTGGCGCCTTGCTCAGCGCGCGCGCGCGCACACACGCACAGTGGTTGACAGATGGAATGCATTAGGCAGTGATGTGGTGGAGGCTGACTCCAAGTGTAGATATGATAGAGCCCAATAGGCTCAGAAACGTGTACACCAGTTGATTGACAGTTGAGAGGCGGGACCAAAGAGCCAGAGCTCAACCCCCCCAAGCACAACTAGTGAGTACACACACACCCCTTCACCAGTTTTACTTACACTTGGGTGTGCGGAAAGGGGGGGGGGAAGGGGGTGGAATAAGAGGTTTAACGAGACTAAGCAACACCAGCTACACCACCCAGACCTTCAACACCACGTCCTCAACAATTACCACCACCTCAGTTCCTCGTTGAATAAAGCACCAAATTAAAAAAAAAACGACTTTCAATTGTACAACGATCAAAAATTATTGGTTCAAGTACGTTCACCAAGACAATAAAAAACATCAATACATGATAGAGCAGCTTAGGCTATTTCTACCCTCCGGTTAATATGTCCAGGATTCTGTTACGCCACATGGCATGGAATAAACAATACAGGTACTATACCTACCTACGGTATTTAAACCATGTTTGTTCACTCCAGTATGGTTATGTGGGAGTTAATAGGTTGGGCAAGTTTACCTAGCAGGTAAACAGGCACCCCGGGAGTTAGGCAACTGTTGAGGGGTTGCATCCTGGGTAGGGTTATAGAGGCCTTAGGGGGGAGCCTCGATAAGCTTACCGTCCCCAACCATGGGAAACCTAGAGTATATAAAGCAGGCCTAGAATATACCTGACGAGGGCTCTGGCAGTTGTTCTACTCCCCCAAGCCCGGCCTCCAGCCTTGTGATTATTTGATCTAGAATGTTGCTGGAGGCGTTCCGCAAGGCTACACATCCATTAGAGCAGGGTTGGTCCTGCAGGGAGGCGTCTAATTATGCAAGGTGAACCATATACGACTCTTGCAATATTCAGTGCTGACCAGACATTGCAATACACGTGTTTTCTTCCGGATATTGTACACAAAGACATTAGGGGTCTCCACTATCAGGGTGTACCGCACTGTTACCACTCATCCGGGATCTCCAGTCATTTAAACTAAATTTCGGGTTTTCATTTCATTGTATTTTATTAGTAAATAGGAAAAAGCTTGTGGCCAAAATGGCGTTCAGTAGTCGTTAAGTTGAAGCAAGTAATTATCAAAAGAAGGCACCAAACCGGGAAGGCTATGTAGCACCATCAAATGCGCAAAATAATCAGAGGGCGCTAAATATCACCACGGATGCCAATACGAGAACAAAAACGCATAAGGCGAACGATATCAAAAGTATCCGAGTCACCAAGAATTCTATTGAGGGACAGGTGACCGCGAGGGGCAGTCGGAAAGCAAGACACATGCTCGTCCTGGAAGTCAGCACATTCAAGAAGGACATGCACGACCATAAGAGGGACAATGCAACTAGGACAATAAGGAGCAGGGCGGCGCTCCATCAAGTGACCATGGGTTAAGCGAGTATGGCCAATACGCAACCTCGCCAGAGCTGTTTCCCACCGCCGGTTACGGTGGAAGGAGGACGGCCACGAGGAAACACAACATTTAAGAGTACGGAGCTTGTTACCAGTAACAGACAACCTAGAAGCCTGCCAACGGGTAAGGACTGAGGAATGGATAACCGGGTAAAAGTCGGAATACGGAATGCCTTTACGAGAGATGGGACAAGAGCGGACAGCTTCCTTGGCGGCAGCATCCGCACGCTCATTTAAAGACACACCAATATGGCTGGGAACCCAACAAAACTCAACCGACTTAAATTTACTGTGAACAAGAAACAGCCAATGCTGGATCTCGACAACTACTGGATGAACGGGATTAAAGGACCCGGGAGCCATGAGGGCACTACGAGAGTCAAGAACTACAAAGGAAGACTGACAACGAGACAGCAGGAGACGAAGAGCATAGAGAATAGCATAAAGCTCCGCTGTAAAGATGCTAGTCTCCGGAGGTAAGCGACACATAAGTGCGCTCAGGAAAAACAACATTAATTGCAAGTTGAAGCCGGCGCTGAAGGAGAGGCGAATCATCACCCTGACAGCAATGGGTAAGATCATCGACATAGAGAGCGGAGAAGACACCTGAAGGAAGAGAGGAAAGAAGACCATTGAGGGCAACCAGAAAAAGAGTAGTGCTCAGAACACTACCCTGGGGCACACCTTCGTATTGCTGAAAAGAGGCAGAGAGAGTGGTACCAAGGCGCACCCAAAAGGAACGACGAGAGAGGAAGCTGCGGAGAAAGAGAGGGACACGACCACGAAGGCCAAAAGAATGAAGTTGAGATAGAATATGATACCGCCAAGTGGTGTCGTAAGCCTTTTCCAGGTCAAAAAGGAGGTCTTCGCAGCAAAAGCAGTACGAATATAGACCTCCAAGTTACCAAGACATCTGTCGTGCTGCGGCACTTGCGGAAACCAAATTGAGAAGGGGAGAGGTGTTGATGGTGTTCCAGGAACCACATCAGACGAACGTTAACCATACGTTCAAAGTTTGCAGACAACTTGTGAGGGCAATAGGGCGAAAGTCCTTGGGGGGAAGTACCCAGAGACCCCGGTTTGCGAACAGGGAGGACAACGGCATCGAGCCAGTCCTCAGGGACTGACGACGACTCCCAGATCCGATTATACAGACTCGGTAAATACCGAGACGTGCACGGAGGGAGATGGCGAAGCATCTCATAATGAATACCATCGGAGCCCACTGCCGTAGAACCCCAGAGGGCCAGGGCAGAACGAAGTTCAGAGAGAGAAGGGATCATTATAGGGAAGCTGAAGACGAGTGCAGAAATCAAAAGGACGAGACTCGAGGACAGGTTTACGAAGAAGGAAAGATTGGGGAAGATGAAGACCAGAGCTAACAGAAGAAAAGTGGGAACCCAGTACGGAAGCGACCTGCAACGGGTCCGCCACAAGAGTATCATGGAGGTGAAGGACTGGTGAAACATCAGGAACGAACTTACCCGCTATCTTGCGGATACGCTTCCAGATCTGGGCCAGAGGAGTTTTGGACGTAATTGTCGAGACATAAGATGCCCAACATTCACGTTTAGCCGTACGGATGGCCCTACGGGCCACCGCACTCGCTTTGTTGCATCAGAGGCAGCAACACCAGACATGAATATCAATTCACTTTTATCGCTCTTACTTCTATGGTCACTCACGCTGGCCACCTCACCTCCCACGTTCAATATGTTCATCACTTGCTACTCATCTCACCTCATGCCCAGCCTCCATGTATTACCTCACTCCACATGTACACCCTTTCTCATTCGCCTCACATGTACTTCCCCTCGCCTCACTCCACGCTTGCGCGCACACATGAACCAAATATAAGTGGCATGTGCAATGTGCCAGCATAAGAACCGTCTTTAAAACCTTGAGAATGCATTCAGGACATTGTAAACACATGTCAAACCAACCCCTGGAATATGCGATGCCAGCGAGGTGTTCTTACCTCGTTAAATACAAAATGATGCTGGAGAAAGTCCAGAGTTGTATTAATCATCTGTTAATCATTGTTGTTAAAAGTTGTTAATCATATTTTACACACACAGTGCATAGTGTAATAGCTGCTACAACTATTAATCAATTCAAATTACAAACAGTGTATCTTCCACATGGCAAGAGTAGTATAATTTTCCAAGAGCTTTTATTCAAAATAACTAAATCATGTTTGCTACTAGATTTAACTCTTCAATACAATAAATATACTACTGTAACCTTTCTTACAATCTATATTTACCACTCAAGTTGTAACCTATAATTCCGTTGAACAATAGAATAAATTCTTTAAAATTTAAATGTGATTTACATTACTTTGCATCTTTTATTATTAAATATTCCACAAAAATGTATTCTCTGAACCACACAATTTTAAGGCAGCACACAATTGTTATTACTAACCTAGTAAAAATGTGCCCCTACATTAATATACAAAAAATCCTTGCCAAATTAATTTTAATTAAACTATCAGGGGAAAGTGCCAAACCTTTAAGACTTTATAGCACTTGGAAGGGGTCAGGATAAGCATTTGGGATGGGACTGGGGGGAAGAAATGGTGCCCAACCACTTGGATGGTCGGGGATTGAACGCCGACTCGCTTGAAGCGAGACCGTCTCTCTACCGTCCAGTCCAAGTGGCTGGGTAATCCTTACCAAAGAAAACTAATATTTTCAACCTGAAATTACAGCTGCATAGATATCTTTCTGGCAGAAAGTACATTTTACAACATCCCTGTAGTACAACATGTTTGAACTACTGGAATTTTTAACCTGTATTAAGCC